CACTACAAAAATAGCCATTTTATTTCAACACCTCCGATGATGATGATGTTGAATGTAGAATAAATGGTTTTAAAAGTTTCAAATTAATTAATGATCCTTTATAAGGGGAAACTGATGTTACATAAGCTAGAATGACCAATCAAAACACAAGTATAAGAAAATTCAAAAAACTTGACAATGAAGTAAGGTTATAATAGCTATTAAGAGCTTTAAAGTTGGGGTTATACTAAAATAGAATTTATTCTAACCAATAAGTATTAAATTATATGCTAAAATTTGATATTAAAATTAAAAGTAAAAAATTACCAATTTTAAAATCTAAATTTAATCTCTATTAAGTTTAAAATTATAAAATTTCTGAGGAGAAAAGAAAAAATACATATGAAATTGGACAATTTATGTTCAAATTAACACTGGAAACTAGAAAAATGATTCAAACTATAGAAACATTAAATAAAAATGACAGAAACAAAGAACATTCTTTGATCTTCAACCAAACATGCTTAAATTAAATATTGCTGCCGAAATACACCTTATATACAGGGTGCAATATGTAAATTGTCACCATTTTATATTTTTAATTTTGCACATACACATTGTTTGTTTTTGTCGACTGCACAGTATAGTAGGGTCAATTTACCACCATCTTTGAGAAAAAGAGCACCATGACACAATTCACTCTGCCAGAAATTTAGAAACAGCATGCTGTACTGCTTGGCATTCGCACTGGAAGCTCTAATATAATATTTCAGAATATTTGGGTGTCAATCTGAGGACAGTGCAAAGAATTCAGAAAGTGTTGAAGGAGTCTAATTGTGATTACAAAGGTGTTTGGAGTGATCACTAGTGATGGTGATGTTATGCTTCCATTAATCTTCCTACAGGGCCTCAAACTCAACATGGACACCTACATCAAGTGCTTTGTGAAGATAGTGCTGCTCTGAGTCAAGAGGGTGTCTGTTAGAAGACCTCATGTCACACAAGCAAGAGAAACCAGTTATGGCTGTCAGACAATTTCTATGAACATATTACCTCCTACATTTGGTCACCTAACTCCCCAGACTGCAACTCCCATGATTATTATGTGTGGAATGCAGTTGAGTGACAGACCAACACCACCAAAGATGAACTGAAGGCAAGGATTATAGCAACATTTACCAACTTAAACAAGGAGACTGTCCAGTATAGTTGTAAGAGATTCTGAAATCGTCTGGAGGTCGTGGCTGAAGCCAATGGTGATTTTATTGTATAAATTTACTCTTTAGTATTTCAAGATATTTTTGTGTAATTTTGGTAAATATATCTGTTAAAATGAGATGTTAGTGTTATTTTTATTTTTGAGTAATTTAGATGGCATCGCACCCTGTATATAAGGTGTATTTGGCAGCAAGAATCCTTTCAAACAGTTTTTATTGAACAATACCAAGAAGGTCTGTCTGTTCAATTTTTTTTTTATTTAGTTTTTCTAACTTCTGACATGGTGTTTTATGTCAGAATGAACTTTCCCAAATTCATTTATTGTATGCATCTGAATATTTTTGACTATCACTAGATGTTATCAAGAATTGCATGTCTAGTACAAAGCTGGATACAATACTAATGTAAAAAGTACTAAGATGGATACAATACCAATGTAAAAAGTACTAAGATGGATACAATACCAATGTAAAAAGTACAAAGATGGATACAATGCTAATGTAAAAAGTACTAAGATGGATACAATACTAATGTAAAAAGTACTAAGATGGATACAATAAATGAACTTTGGAAAGTTAATTCTGATACAAAACAACTTAGTATGAAGTTCAGTCAGTTCTATACCATGCATGATACACACTTAGGTGATCATATATCTTTCAGTACATGACTGACGAGGCAGATTTCTTTCTGTGGTAGACCAGTTGCCATTCAAGGCTATAGAACCAGGGCTGTCCTGCTATTTACCCATAGCAAGGGAGGAGAAGAAGAAGATTCATACCTTTCCCGAGGGTATTAGCATGTAAGTGAATGTATTGGATTTGACTGGAATTCAAACTCGGCATATATACAAGCAATCAGTTCAGTTATGTGTCATGCATGATACATGCTTAGACAATCATGTATCTTTCGATACATGACTGATGAGGCAGATTTTTTCCTGCAGTAGGTTACCATTTCTTTTTGTGGTATACTAGTTGCCATCCAAGGCTATAGAACCCAGTCTGTCCTGCTATTTACCCATAACTGGGAAGAGAAGAAGAGTCTGAAGTTAGAAAAACTAAAAAGTTGGACGGACAGACCTTATTGATATTCAATTTAAGCCAGTTGTTATTAAATTTTGCTGTTTAATAAAAACAGAAAACAAAAAAAATCGGGATAGGAACTTAAACATATGTACCCACTAAAAGTAAAAATAATATTTATAGTAATAAGAAAAAGACATATATTTTCTGTGTATGTAAGACTTTTCTATGTCACCAGAAGAATCTACTACATAGAAATAGGTGAATTGCTCATCTGTATTTAGTGAACTTGTCCACTGATATAGAAAAATAATCTTATGGTTTCTTTATATAATATGTGGATGAGAGGAATAAACATGAAAATATTTGGCCTTAGGAGTTGATTAAACGTGTATTACTGGACCAAGTAGTGAAACACTGATTCAGCAGGAACCAACAATAACTGATATCACAGATACAAAATAATACAATAATCAACAGATATCCCATATCAAACAAAAACAATGGACACCTGGTGATAGCCATAGGATACTTGGTCAAAATATTGTTTCTCTAATAATATCTATAACAACGAAGATGAGAAAAATAGTTTAAAATAATTAAATCATGAAAATGTTTATAAACAAAATCATTCTCCAAATTTTGTTAGTTATTTGAATATTACTTACCCAGATTGCTTTCCAAAGATATTTTCATCCTCACTGAATTGAATCTCTTGACTAAGAAATGGGGGATCAATTTAGAAATATGTTGTCATGCAAAACTGACACCCCACTTTATGCTTACAGCTTTTTGTTAGTTAATCAAATACAGATGATGTCCAAGCAGGTTTTTCAATAATATATTCTTTATTTAGATTTTAAATTTGTCTAATGGCAATATCTTTTAAAACTCCTTGTAATAATTTTTCATTTTAGGTTTCCTTGTCCAAATTATTTGATTAGATGAAGAAGCTTTTTAATTTATATCAGCTATTTCATAAATTTCTTTTGTTGTTGTTTTGTTCACATATTTTTGTTTGTTTTATATATATATATTTTTTATTTTCTTTGAAATAATCTTGGGTACCTCTGATTAGCTTTTAGCTTTTGAGGTGGTCTACAATCTTCATTCTAAATTTTCTTTTTTCATTTATGAGAATGTCAATACATCTTAATTTGATAGCATCTGGAATTCTTGCATGTTATGTAAGAACTTTTTTTTTGATCCGAAGTTCTGAGATTATTTTTCTTTTAAATTATTCAACATACTGCCTTTATTTTTATTGTTTCTAACACAGTTTCAGTCAATCTATTCTCTAACCTTCCTCAGGTGATAGAAGAATTGTTATGTATTGGTGATGAAATCAGAAACAAATGTATAAAGCAAATTCAAAAATCACCAGAAGCAACAAATGTCTATAGGAAGCCAAAGATGACTATAATTCTTCTATATTTGATGGCCTATGAAACCCTTTTATTTCCATTTTCATTTAATATTATGGAGTTAAACTAGATACAAGTTCTTGCAGTCTACAGCATTACTGGGTAACTGATATGCTACCAGATACCTAAGTTTTATATATAAAACCCAAGAGACAATTCTGGAGAAAAAAATAAAATAAAATAAAATAAACTGAGGGTTTATATAGTATCAAGTAGAGTATACCATACAAAAAATGTTGTGTTAAAAACAACAAAGATGAAGATAACTCATTTTTGTGTTTTTGGCATGAGGAGATACTGTTAACTACATCTTGACTAATATCCTCATCTTTGTTGCCATTATCATATTTCGATTCTGGCTTCTCAAGGTGTCTGTTGGCCCAGTTAACCTTCAGGGAACTTCAAAATGAACCAGATGGAATATATATAGATGTGGACAGTAGAACAAAATCTATCTGCTTTTGTAGATTAAATAAAGTGGTTCAAAATTTCTTCAAGGTTAACTGGGACAACAGACACCTGAAGAAGGCTGGGGTGGGGGATACAGCAATCAAAATATTGTGATAATAAAAACAAAGATGAGGATATTAGTCTGAATGTAAATAAAGATGACATTGCAAACCTGAATCTTATCTATTTTATAATACAGGATATTAATAAAAACAAACAGGCAAAATAAAAATAAAATACCATATTTTCCACCATATAATGCAAATAATTTTCACCTGCTTTAATTTGCTTTAAATATCTCTATGTGTATTAGGCTTAGAAGATCATAGCTTGGAGTAAGCTAACAAGTAGGGGTGGGGGGTAATCTTGCACATGCACATGTAGATACAGATACAAAACTCTTCAGGATAATGGTTCCTAAGTGACTCCAGAATAAATTTCTTGCTCATAAAATGGTGGAAAATACAGTAGAGATCTGAATTTCTGGAAAAGAGAAGATTTTTAAAGTAATCAATATTCACTTAGATTATAAGAGAAACTGCTTTCAGCATAAAAGCAGTCTTTAAAACAGATAACAAAACTACAGCAGAACAACAAAAACAAACTTTGGCAAACTTTTCCATTAAGTTATCCTCTCTTCCTGAAGAGAAAAATTAGAACAGAGAAAATATCCAGAAATGTTTTCTTTGAGAAATGAAGGGTCAAATACCTTAGAGAGACCTTGATCAATTCTTTAAGCAACCAGCACTGATTCCAATATTGAAATATATCAGCATACAAGACGTGCAACCCAACCAAGGAGCCCTGCATAATTGGTCAGTCCAATGCAACAACTACATAGCATCTGATTGCTATGGTAACTGAAGAGCAGAAGGAGATTCATTTTGAAAGGATGAAGAAGTTGTCATAATTGCAGTTGTTTTTTTAATAGAAAGTAAGCATCGTGTGCAGCAAGAAATCTCTTGTTGCATTGTTGAGCATCTGTTTTTGTCTCAACTGCAAAGCGAGACAAGTGAAGTACTGTTCTGGCATTTACTATTAAAATGGATGATACGTCTGTAGTTGGATTTACATGGTGGAGGAAAGACAAGCAAAACAGAGAGGAGAAAAGGGAAAGACCAGAAAGTGAAATGGAGGCAGGAGAAAGAGAGATGAATGAACAGAAAAGGAAATAGAGATGGGAGAAAGATTGAGGACAGATTAGAAAGGGAAATGGTGGAAGGATTAAGGGTGAGAAAAAAGCAGAAAGGGAAATGGGGGAGAGAGTGAGAATGAGGAAAAAGCAGAAAGGGAAATAGGGGAGAGAGTGAGAGTGAGGAAAGAGCAGAAAGGGAAATAGGGGAGAGAGTGAGAGTGAGGAAAGAGCAGAAAAGGAAATGGGGAGAGAGTGAGGAAAGAGCAGAAAAGGAAATGGGGGAGGGAGTAAGAGTGACAAAAGAGCAGAAAGGGAAATGGGAAGGGAGTGGGAGTGAGTAAAGAGCAGAAAGGGAAATGGGAAGGGAGTAAAAGTTAGAAAAAAATCAGAAAGAGAAATGGGGAGGGTGTAAGAGTGAGGAAAGAGCAGAAAGGAAATAGGGTGGGAGTAAGTAGTGAAGAAAAAGCAGGAAGAGAAATGGGGAGGGAGTAAAAGTGAGGCAAGAGCTGAAAGGGAAATTTGGGAGGGAGTAGGAGTGAGGGAAGAGCAGAATAGAAATGAGGAGGAATAAGAATGAGGGAAGAATAGAAAAGAAAATGAGTGAGGGAGGGAGTAAGAGTGAGGAAAGAGCAAAAAGGGAAATGGGGGAGGGAGTAAGCTTTAGGAAAATGCAGAAAGGAAAATGGGAAAGGAGTGAGAGTGAATAAAGAGCAGAAAGGGAAATGGGGAGGGAGTAAAAATGAGGCAAGAGCAGAAAGAGAGTAAGAGTGAGGGAAGAATAGAAAGGGAAATGAGGGAGGGAGTGAGAGTGAGGCAAGAGCAGAAAGGAAACGAGGGGAAGGAATAAGAGTGAGAGAAGAGCAGAAAGAGAAATGGAGGGAGTAAGAGTGATGCAAGAGCAGAAAGAGAAACAGTGGGTGAGTGTAAAAGTGAGGAAAAAGCAGAAAGGGAAATAATCATTTTCCTCCAAGAAGGCAATAGTGAGGAACGAGCAGAAAGGGAAATGGGAGAGGGAGTAAGAATGAAGAAAGGGTATAAAGGGAATGGGGGAGGGAGTAAGAATGAAGACAGGGCAGAAAGGGAATGGGAGAGTGAGTAAGAATGAAGAAAGGGCAGAAAGGGAAATGGGGGAGGTAATAAGATGAGGAAAGGGCTGAAAGGTAAACAGAGGAGGAAGTAAGAGTGAGGAAAGAGCAGAAAGGGAAATGGGAGATGGAGTAAGAGTGAGGAAAGAGGAGGGAGTAAGAACAAAGAAAGAGCAGAAAGAGAAATGGAAGAGGGAGTAAGAATGTGGAAAGAGCTGAAAGGTAAATGGGGGAGGGAGTAAGAATGAGGGAAGAATAGTAAGGGGAAGAGAATGAAAGTGAGGCAAGAGCAGAAAGGAAACAAAGGGAGGGAATAAGAGTGAAAGAAGAGCAAAAAGAGAAAAGAGGGAGTAAGAGTGATGCAGGAGTAGAAAGAGAAATAGGGGGTGAGTGTAAAAGTGAGGAAAAACAGAAAGGGAAATAATCATTTTCCCCCACGGAAGGTAATAGTGTGAAAAGAGCAGAAAAGGAAAATGGAAGAGGGAGTAAGAGTGAGGCAAGTGCAGAAAGAGAAATGGGGGTGTGGGAGTGAAAGTGAGTAAAGAGGAAAAAGGGAAATGGCTGAGGGAATGAGTGAGGAAAGAGTAGAAAGAAAAATGGATGAGGGGATAAAAGTGAGAAAAGAGCAGAAGGAAATGGGGGAGGATGTAAGTGTGAGGAAAAAGCAGAAATGGAAATAATTATTTATCCCCAAGGGAGGCAGTAGTGAGAAAAGAACAAAAAGATAAATAGGGGAGGGAGTAAGAGTGAGGCAAGAGCAGAAAGAGAAATAGAGGATGGACTGAAAGTAAGTAAATAGGAGAAATAGAAATAGGTGAGGGAGTAAGAGTGAGGAAAAAGCAGAAAGGGTGATGAAGAATGGTGTGAAAGTGAGGAAAAAAATAAGTGGAATAATCATTCACCCCCAAAGCAGACAATAAAGCCACTAAGCTACTAGGTGTGTTTTACTATGTGTTAGACAACATGAGAAAAAATCTATTAAGGGAGAACAATAAAAGTATTAAGAAGACAAGATAATGATTGACATTGACAGAAAAAGAAATGGAGATATCAGAAAGAGTGAGGAAAGAATGAAAAGAGACATTAGAGGAGGAAAAAGGATGAAAAAAGAACTGAAAATGAAATTAGAGGAGCAAAACAAAAGAAATGGAAATGAAGTAAAACAATGTGTGAAGGAAAAGCAGAAAAAAATAAAAACAAAAATCTAAGAAAATATAAGTGGCAGCAAAGATGAAAAAATACAAGTCAGGGGGAAAAATTGATGAGGACAAGAACAAAAATACTGAGAAATCTTAAAGTGATGACAATGTGTATATGAATAAATAATTAAATAAATAAGAGGACAAGAAATAAATTTTAAAAATCCAAGTAATTGTTATAGATGTTGCATCCTATAAATCAGATCTATAATCTTCTTAGCTAAAAATAAAATCAGTCATATTATTGTTCTTAGGAAATCTAAAATAGTACTAAATACCACAATAATTTTTAAAAAGATCTTATCTTTGCCAGAAAAATAATTGAATGTTATTTTATAAAAAAAATTGTCAAAAATTTTATTTGGGATGGCATAACACCTTGGAAAGTCATGATGTGCTGAATTGACATAATAGAAAGAAAACTAAAAGTGTGGTGAGGGATTAAAAATACCAGTGCTCGAGATAAATGGCTTTCAAGCCAATAAAACTATTCCAGTTGCTTTGTGTAAATAAAGGTCATAAGGTGCAAAAGAGAAAATTCTCAGAGACTAAAAAAAAAAAAATTAACCAAAATGGCACATGAATGTTTTTATTTGAATGTTGATGGAACAGTTCTGCAAGTCCTGCTCAATTAAGTGGGTGGGAAACGGTTCTACCATTCCAGTCCAGTCCATTTCAGAACATTCAGACAGTAATCAAATTTTTTTTTTTGGTTCTTGGCATTTTTCTTTTTATATTTCACCATTAAGTCACCAAATCAGACAAAAACCTATCTCCGATCTCTCTTTCACTGCCACAGTCGCGGCAAAATCACCAACCAGTCTCATCTCAGGATTGTTTTTAGACAAAAGATTACCACAAAAATAGAAAAGTGTCTCAAAATGAATCTCTGAAGAAAAATATCAGTCAACTTCTAATGGAAAAATTCTTTGGACAATCACAAACAAAAATTACTTTTCCTTAGCAGCAACCAAATTGGAAAAAAGCAATGATATTCAACACATGGTTTTGAGAGTGGGTGGGAAGCGACAAAGTCCCAAAATCTTGTTTAGAAAGAGTGTCAATTAGTTTCTTTCTGATACAGCCTATGTTTTCTATGAAAACAGTACAAAGCGACATTTTAATATATCTCTATATAATGAATATAGTGTGCTCAAAAAAATATATGTATGGTAAAAGCATCTTTTCATCAAATAATATGAATATGGCTTAAAAATAACACATGCCAAACTCAAAGAGATTGCTCATAAATAACTGTATCTTTGGCCCTGCCTGATACTTGATGTAGCTTTATACTTCCAACCTAGAGATATACATTCTGGCGCTAGGGATTTGAATCCTGATTTTCAAGGCAGGCACTCATTGATACAATATATTTCTGCCCTGATCCAAATTTGGCAATAGTAAAGTTGGGTTTTTTACATTCACTTATGTGCAAATACCCTTGGCAAAGGTATGAATCCATCTCTTCTCTCCTCAACTATGTGTTAAATAGCAGCACAGACTGAGTGCTATAGCCTTGGTTGACAACCGGTCTACCGAGGAAAGAAATGTCAACCTACTGTGGGAAAACATTCTTCCTAGTCAGTCATGATTCAAAAGAGACATGATCATACAAGCATGTATAATGAATAACACTTTTTAAAAAGTGGGTATTAAGATGAGGCTTTTGTAAGTAAAGTAATTTGCTAATTTCTTAAGAATTTAAATTGAATCTTATTTTTTTTTGCTGGAACCTGTATCATGTTTTCTAACAGATATAATGAGAGAATCCTGTAGTGTTCTTTTGATTTGGGTCAAATTATTAAGAATTAGAATAATCAGCTTCTAAATAAACAAAGATAAGTGGATTTATATGAAACAGGTTGAGTTGTTTAATTCTCATTTGCAGATGCTGAAAGTATTTTCATTTTAACAGCCCTTTACTACAAAAAAACATTTGATATACACATCTAAAGATTATCTATAGTTATATTATATGATTAATATATATATATATATATATATATATCACTGTAAATGTTATATTAGTGAATACTTGTATTTGAGTAGGCACCCCATATATTTATTAAACAGTATATTTAGTTAATTTTGTCTACTGACCTGAATGCTTGAGATCTTATTAAAGGAAAATTTGCACTCTCTGACAGGTTTTGAACCTGCATCCCTCAGGGCAGAATAAGCTACTGTTAAGCCCAGCACACCTTAACCAACTTGGGCATGAAACTGTACATTATATAATATAAAAGATTCAAATACTAATATTCCATGGTTATAATTTATTACATAGGAATTGTAATCACAATCCAATTCATTAGACCTACAAATTCAAAAAGCATATATATATATATATATATATATATATATATATATATATAGATGGCCTGAGGATTGTGTTCAAGCATGAAACAGACTCTTGCCACTTGGTGTTGACCTCAGTGTCTACATTATATGTGTGTATATATATATATATATATATATATATATATATATTTAATTATACAGTGAGTTTCACCCTGTACAAAGCCCAGGGGCCACTTGAGGTACAGGGTCACATTAAGAGGCTGTTTATACAGATAGGAGAGGAAGATAATGGTTAACCCTAGACTTGAACAGGTTAAGATTATAGTGATTGATGAAACATCATCATCATGGGTATATATATATATATATATATATATATATATATACACACACAGATGGAAAACTATTAGCTGTCAGTCTATATGGCTTAATGTATAGGAAAAGCTGACCACCGGCACAAAAAAAATTTCAGAAGCACTAGAACTGTTGAAAGACACCAGCTTTGAAATTAAAATATGAAAAGTTCTTTAAAAATATGAAAATACTTTTGATAAAATTTATACTTCCATCTTGAAAGATAATCTGATTTTACTAATAAGAACTTTAAACCTTACTTTATCTGAAAGAAAAAAAAATAGCAGAATTATTGAGAATCTCAGTTCCATATTTAGATGAGAATCTCAGTCCAGTCTCTCCCTTTGCTGAAAACAAGCTAAAAATAATTTTTGACTGATCATAATGAAACTAAACCTGCATCAGGAGTGGGAAACACAATAATTTTGGTGCAAAGATTGATTTGTTATATTGGCATGTGTCAGATTATTTTGAATTCAAGTTCTAAAAAAATGAACCAACAAAGACCCTGCACTTTGGTTCAACTATAAAAATTAAACGAAGTGTTGCAGACATCAGTATCAAACAGATAAAAATATTATAGGTTACTGTTTCTACCTCTAATAAACAATCACCTATTAAAATGACCAGACAAAAGAATTTTCAATGAAAACAAGACATATTTTTTAATCAATTCACCCCATGCAAGGCAATAACTCTACTAAGATGCAAGAGGCTAACAGAAGTGAAAGAGAAAGAAAAGACTTTAGAAGGAATTGGAAACCCAATAACAGTATAAATTTCAGATATTAGGCAGAGATTTTAGAAGTATAGTGTTGAAGAAGAATCTAGAAGAAACCAGTAACCCAATCCTGAATAAACCTCTACTCCTGTTTAAAAAACCGTGAAAGAGAGTGATCCGGATGATAGTTGAACCTATCTAGTCCTATTTGAAATGTTGGGATTATATTCATTATTGTATAGATATAATATTCTAAAAAACTAATTCTATGTCAGTTTAAAAAAAAAAAATTTTTTAAATTTTAGACTGTTTTTCTGAAATTTGGAAAAAAGTTTCAACATTCAGGTGAGCACGGCACTCTACAGATTTCTTTTCTTTTTAATATCTGTGAACTGACATAACCTCTTTGGAAAGATAGTGTAATGGTTTCTTTTTACCTTTTCCAGGGCTTTGAATTCAGAAGTGTCCTTTTCTTAGACTGGCTACCATTCAAAGCTAGAAAGTCAATCCTACCTTGCTATTTAACCCATAGGTAGGGAGAGAAGTAATTTTAGTGTTTGTAAGCATCTGACTAGGGAATAATAGTTATCATGCTAGTCTAACAAACTATCCTACATTCTCCAGTTGGAACGTTATTACCACATGGTGCTTCATCTTAGAGCAAGGGGTAGAAAGAGAGTGAGACAGGAAAATGTTTATCTTTTTATAGACTTAACCAGCACTGCCTGACAGTGTTTGATGAAGCCAAGTGCAGTAATCATATTTCTGTTTCCTTTATTAGGGAAGGTTACTGAATAGAATAATCAAAGGTTGGTAATGAGCAATAATACTTAGGACAAGAACAACACATATAAGATTTGCCAGCAGTGTGTAGAAGTAGTAGTCAACTGCTAGAAGTGAGTCAAGTGAATTCCACAATGAATCTCCAAATCTAGACCACATACAGTATTCACTACTGTATTTATGGAAATGGAGGCATACCCATTATCATTCATAGGTATGCTATAACAAACATAAATCACCATCATCTTCTGTCTCCTTGATTCTTGTTCTTTTATTTTTCTTTCTGCTTAGTAACATGTTCTTGGATTCCTTCACTCTCAGTAAACCCTTTGCAACTTAGTGGCTTTATCACTTTACCTGGAGTGGAATGATTATAAAAAAGTATCATAGCTCTATTTGGATTTTTATTAATTCCTGACCACTGACAATACATTTTTCTAATCATCAATAGACAACATACAGATTGAATGAACTTACTGAAATCTTTGGTTAAGAATTGCAGAGATCAATATTTAATCATCAAAATTTTCCCCATCAAAACAGAAATATTTAGTTTGTTCACGCAGAAAATAACTAAATCAAAAACAGAGGAATGGTAGAATATACACAGAAAAGAAAACCAAAACCTTGCCTGAGGCCAAATACAGTCAACACTAAAATACAAACACTTCTTTCTTTTTTCCCTTACCCATTATCAGAAATTGCTGAGGCTGATAATCATTTGGGTTGGTCAAAAAGTTAATTTGACTTGTATTAATTGATTGTATCTAGAGATTTTTTTTTATTCAGTTGTGACAGATGAAGTATTTTTAAAAGATTTTATGAAAATTGACATATTTTTGTTTATTAATTCTATCATTAACAGACAGAAATAAGAAATTCTGAGCATATTGCACATTTATTGTTTTAAGAAAGATTAGAATGTGACAAAAAAAATTTGGGCATATTACACTTTTTTTATTTTAAGAAATAAGTATAATGAAAAAAAGAACATTTACACTTAGAATTAGAAAGTTGAAACTTATGGCATATATAACGAGGAAAGAATACTTGGAGAATTTGATACTCACAGGACATACTGAAGGTGAGAGGAACAGAGGGAAACAGCAAATAATCTACCTAATGAACTTGAGTAAACAAATAGAGGAACAAGGAGTGGGAGTGATAGGGAAAAACAAAATTTAATAAAAGCTACAAAGGATAGGAAGTTGTGGAGTGCCATGATTTCTCCCATTCTGAAGGGACACAGCACATAGAAGAATGTGACTGTTATGTTTTGCTTATCTCTCTGTAGTAGTAGTAGTCATAATACCATTGTCCATGTCCTGAAGAGCAACCGGGTTTGCTAAGTATAGCTGTTACCTCTGTTCATCAGTTGTTCTCTATTTATACTTGTCAATCTAATTTGCATATGATACTACAGTGATAAAGAAAAAGTTTGTGTATTATACTTCCTTTTTTTTTTAAAGGACTAGAAAGTGATAAACAAAAATTATTCAGGCAGTTTATAGAAAAGATTCTTTAAATGATTGTTCGAATGAAAAGTGAACTAATATTTGATTTCCTTCAAAGTGGATGTGTGGGTGGAGTAATGAGTAGTGGCTTTGAATGAGAAATCAGAGTGCCAAGTTCAAATTATATTCGAGTTCATTGCCTTCACTTATGTGCAAATATTGGTGAAAAAAGTATGAATCCATCTCTTCTCCCCGCCCCACAAGCTATATGTTAAATAGTAGGGTAGACTGGGATCTTTTAACCATAGTTGGTAACCAGGAAGGTTTATTCTGATTTCAAAACTAGTTGGGCATGGGGTTAGTAACTCCATCTCGTAAAAACCCACTACTTACTCTGGAAAACCACAGTAGTAATGCCTAACATGCTGATAGCTGAACCCTATACTCCTCAAGGAGTCTACAGGAATTGAGTGTGAGTGAGTGTGTGTGAGTACTTCCTTCAAAGCAATGTTAGCTTCTTTTCATTACAGTCACTCAGGCTGTTAGTCTACAGTCATTATTTAATGCTTGTGCATCAGAAATAACAAAGGTGTTTTTCTGAGTTTCACAATGCTCCATTATCGAGTAGACAGGTTAAAGTTGACAGCAATTGAATAAAGACATTACTTGAGAATGATTATTGTCTCTCATATGGCAGTGAGTGCTGGACAATCTCACAGATGAAGATTCTTGAAGCAACAGATTCTACAGAGGGGTGCTGAAAATACCATGGGCAGATCTTGTGAGCAATGAAGATGTTTTAAGAAAAATAGAAACAAAAAAAAAAGATACTCATAGTTAAAATCAGAAACAATTGAAATTTCTAGGGTACATAATGAGGAAAGAAGGCATGGAGAATGTGACACTCAAAGGATATATTGAAAGCAAGAGGAACAGAGGAAAGCAGCAAATAACCTACCTAACAAGCTTGTGTAAATGATTAGAACTGGATTTAGGAGATGTAGCATAAAAATAAACCTAAGAGCTAAAAAGGACAGGAATTTGTGGAGAGGGATAATCACACATGTCTTTAAGGGACACGGCAAAAAGAAGAATGCAATACAGTAAATAGCCAACATATGCAAAATATTCAAATCAAGTATTGCAAATGGTTATATTAGTTCTTTTGATGTGCGACTTCCACATAAAGTTAAAAATTAAAAACATATAAGTCTTCTTGGTCATTACTACTTGTTGTGTCGGAAACCTACCACCCCTCTTGAAGATGAACTTGTCTGCATCTGTGAACAAAGACTTTAAATAGTGGCATGTCAGTTGACATGAAGAAGATAGACAGACAGAGAAGTTCTTAGCTGAGCTAGTTATTGACTACTCAGGCGATTTCTGGACCTTTTTACCAACCTATTAAAACCCTTTTTATTGTTACGTGTTATTTGGCATTTGTCTCTACTAACCCCAAATCAACATCATAACACTACTGTAAGAAATTTAATCTTGGCTGGGCAAACTTATAGATTGATTGATTTCTTTAGTACAACTTATCAATCCATTTCAGGTTATTTATAGCCAGAAAATATTTTTAGATTGTAAGAATTTTCTTTTTTTTTTTTTTTTTTGCAGGGAGTGGGCTTAATAATGGTTTAGCGATAGCTTGGAGGAGAAAATGTGGATTCATAACTTTCCCAAGAGCATTTGCACGTAAGTGAATATAACAAATCCAAATGGAACTCAGCTCTCCAATTAACAATTCTGAGCCATTATTGATTAAACCTGGTATTCCCAAGCAGTCACCCATCTAGCTACTGACCAGGCACAATGTTGCTTAACTTCGATGATTATATGCAAACTGGTGTTTCAATGTGATGTGGCTGTCAGGCATAATCCTATAGGCTAAGGTTAGTAAATATATATGTGTATAATATATATTGTATACTATTGAGACTGGGATGATGATTATTCTTTTTGGGAGAATAATCCACCCAGGAATTCCTTATTCCAACCAGCCATTTTATTAAACATTCAGGAAATTTCCTCCTACTCTTTATCTATGACAGCCTAAATTAAAAAGTAGGAGGAAATTTCCTGAATATTTAACAGTGGTTGGAATAAGACTGTCTTACATGGATTCTCTCTCAAAAACTAATAATCGTCCTGACCTATGTATTTGAAACTCTGTGTTATTTGTATGCACACGCACATATATATATATATATATATATATATATATATATATATATATATTTTAATAATAAATAATCATTTTTTTTTCCTCACCCGTAGCACATCTTTGAGTTTCATGCACGGTGAAATTATCAGGTGCTGATTGAATTATAACTTTAAGCATTCAATGTGTGATATTTTATATTCAGTTATATATATTTCTGTGCATTTTCTACAAATATTTTTATGGAAATTGTTCTGATGAGATTTCCACTATGGTACCTCAACTTTACGAAATTAAGTACAAACTGACAGCTAGGTCTCTGAAGTTACTAGATGTAAGCATAAGTTCAATGGTAACAGTTTTTTTCTCTCACACTTCTTACTTGTGGAACTCTCTTCTAGCTTCTTGATCCCAGTCAACTTTGATCTTCATAAAATTTACATGCAATGTCGATCATTATCTACTGTCTTCTTAATCCTTGTCTTTATTATTTTCTCACTTAAATAATGTTTTTTTCTTTTTCTCAGATTCTTTCACACTCGGTAACCCCTTGCATCTTAGTGGCTTTATTGCCTTCCTTGGGGTGAAATTATTAATTAATAAATAAATAAATAATACATAGAGGTGAAAAGTCATGTAGTCTAACTTGAAGTGGTTAGGCATTTTTAAATCTGGTCAAAATTTGAAAACATTTTTGTTACTCTTATTCCTTGTTTATGTTTCTATTGATCCATAGAAAAACGATATGGTACGTATGTAAGTGAATAAGATAAGTTGCTGGTGCATGATGTGACCTTTTAACCAATGACATCTGTTAATTAGCCCATAACCTATTCCAGCCTGTCTTGAAAACCACAGAAGAATCTGCACATACATTAAAGGGGTTGATACTTTATCAGACCCTATAGACTCACACTACAAAATCACAAATGAAGAGCTTTACTAAATAACAAACATTACCATTCCCTTCATAAGAAGTAAGTTCCAATTGAGCAGCTTCTTGCCATGAACTGCTACTTTGTGGAACAGACTCCCAAGAGGATGCTTTTCCAAACAATACAATCTAGGATTAACTGTTATCTTTTTATATCCTTATAAACTGCACTTCTTACTGCTCACATAACAACCTCCTTCACTAACCTTCTACCTTGAGAGGCTCTTGGGCCTTGTATAGGGTGACCATTGTTAAAAAAGTCAAAACAAAAAAACCATTCACCTGAATACTTTCAATGCCAGTAGCAACAAAACAAAAATGAGTAGCACATGGAGCTAGGAGAGAAAAAGCTGTTAACTTTCCATATGACATAAAACAAAAATTTTGGAAACTCCCATTAGTATTAGAAAGAGCTATGACATTTAGTGGACTTGAGAAGTTAATTTCCTGAAAAACTATTTTAAGAAAAAGATTTTACAAATTTCAACTGACAGTAACACTAGCTCTTCAGTTAATGAATGCCAAATGTTTCCTGTATAGAAAGGCAAGGATGTGTGTGGATAGCATAATGGTTATCATCCCAGAAATTGGAATCGAAGGACCAAGTTCAAATTCTTAGTGTTTTTATGTTCACTTCACATTAATAGCCTTAGAAAAGGCATGAATGTATCTTCCTCCAGTTGTGGGTTAAATAGCAAAACAGATGAGACTCTCTTGTTTTGGAGAGTAACCAGTGTAAGAGAAGAAAACCTCTGAATTTAAACCCTCACAGCCTTATGGGTATCTTCAGGAGAAGAGATGGATAAGAAATAAACCCTAAACAAATCTGGCATAGATTCCCTAATGCAGTTGAATGGCATTTTCTAGCAAGTCCTGCAACTGCTCCAATACCAAACAAATTACCATATCGTTTGGATTCTAACAACAATAAGTTTACAGGCATATTATACTGAAATAATTGTTCTCAATAAAATCAGCAAAGTTAAGCAACATTGAGCCTGGACAGTACTTAGATTGGTGACTGCATAGGAATACCAGGTATTGTAAACTTGGATGTGTAGGTGGTGTAATGGATAATGGCTTGGAATTGGAGATCAGAGAGCCAGGTTGCAATTCCAGTTGTGTTTGTTATATTCACTTACTTGCAAATACCCTTCGGAAAGGTATAAATCCACCTCTTCTCTCCTAGCCATGGTTTAATTAGAACCTGTATCAGTAAATCATTATTATCCCCCTAAAATACTTACAATCTGAAAATATTTTCAAACTTTAAATAACCTGCAAAAAGGTTGATAAGCTGTTAAAAAAATTAATCTACCAACTATATTGAGAAGGGAATCTTGAAGTATGGGCAGCCCAAGACCTTCATTGTCCCTACCCAGGCCCATAGTGCTCTGCACTATACCATCATCTCCTAAGATGGATGAATGCAATATAATACACTAATAGAAAATAAAAATTGCAACAACATAATGTTAATTTTGGCCTCGGTAAAGTAAGTGCATGTTAGTGGTATAGTAAATATTTTGTTAAAAGATTTTGGCCATCTTGTGATATAGTAACAGGCACAGCTGTGGACCATCTATGTCTGAGCTTTAGACTGTAAAACATGCCGCAATAAAGTTCAGTATGATAAAAGAGGTGTCATGCTACAGATGCACATTAGCACTTTTTTTTCAATTAGAACCATTTAAGAAGAGTTGGAGATTTGAGAAGATGGATTGTCATTTAAGAGAATCAACACTAAAGAATCACTGTCAGTTTTATACCTCAATGTGATCTCCAGATCAAATGTGAAAATTAGTCTGAAGATTACATTGGGAGTCACCATGCAATGTTGATTCATATCTTCATGCTGTCTATATCTATAAATTCTCTATTTCTGATACTGAACCCTTCTCCTATAAATTTAATAAATTTGAAATATATATATATATATATATATATATATATATATATATATATATATATATATATATATATATGTGTGTGTGTTAAGGTATGCTATAAAAAGTGTAAAAGTGCTCAATATCAGAGATAGAATGTATGTAAATATAAAACTGGACACTGAGTTCAGCACCAAGCAGTGACAATGTGCTTCATGCTTCAATGCAATCTTATATATATATACCATATTTTCCGCACTATAGTCTGCACCTGTATATAATCTGCACTCCTATAAATTCAACTATCTGGACATAACTGGCTCGACGCTGGTGACTGGTTTTTGTGAAGCTATGTTCCCCTAACCCTGGCCACTCAAGGAATTGGCAGTGGTTCTCAGTTCAAACCATACAACTATTCATCGTCATCTTCAACAACTTGGAAAAGTTCCTAAACTTGGAAAATGGGTGCCTCATGAATTGTCTGAAAACAACCTCAAATCCCAAGTTGACATCTGCTCTTCTCTCCATTCTCGCCAACTTGTTTCACCTTTTTTGGACAGACTTGTGACTGGCAACGAAAAATGGATCTTTTATCGAAATGTTAAGCATCATAGACAGTGGCTTGGTAAAGGGGAAGGACCCCAGCCACAGCCGAGAAGGGAACTTCATGGACAAAAGGTTCTTCTTTCAATCTGGTGGGATCGCCAAGGAATAATCCACTTTGAATTCTTACCACCTAATGCAACAATTAATGCTCAAATATACTGTCAACAATTAGAGCGTTTGAACCAAGCTTTGAGGAAAAAAAGACCTGCTCTAGTGAATCAAAAAGAGGTGATGTTTCATCAGAACAATGCGCGACCCCACACAGCAAGAATCATGTCACAAAAGATCGAAGAACTTGGTTGGGAGAAAATTCCTTATCCACCTTATTCTCCTGATCTTGCTCCTTCAGACTACCATTTGTTTCGTAGCTTACAGAATCATTTGAAGAAACAGCTTTTGTAACAGGAAGAGGTTAAAACTGACATTTGTGAGTTTTTTGAATCAAAGCCAAAAGAATTTTACAGTAATGGAATTAGTAAGCTTGTTAATAGATGGTAGGAAGTGATAGATAATTAGGGAAAATACATTGTTGATTGAATCTGTAATTAAATGTAACATTTGGTCAGTTGTATTATTTATTCAAAATTCGGACAGAACTTATGGGATGACCTGATATATTTACATATGCTCTGTCTCTGATATTGAGCACTTTTAGCTATAAATATAATATACTTTAAAGCTATTTTCAAAGGGGTTTGTTTTATGTGTTATTAATTTCTCTTCATGTTTGACTGTTTAAGATGTACTTTTTGTGCTGTTTTGAATTACTAGTTGGAGTGCTTGTACTCTTACTCCCACAGAATGGAATGCTGGAAAAACTAAATAAAATATTAATTAAATTTTTCTTGTTTGTTATATTCAATGAAACATGTTTAAAAGAAAGATTGCTGCCCAAATATATATATTATATATATATATATATATATATATATATATATATATATAAATTCCCAAGAGGATAGAATCCAGGTAGAACTCAATGTCCAGGACAAAGTAAGAATATAATATAAAAGGCTCAAACACTAATATTCCATGGTAATAATTTATTACATTGGAATTGTAATATATATATATATATAAATGTGTGTGTGTGTGTGTGTGTGTGTGTTTATACACACACAAAAGACATGAAAAAAATAATTAAAAGAGAAAAATGTACGAAGAAGGGTGCCTAAATTTCTCCAATTCAAAATGTGAAATAAGTAAATACTAAACACTTCAAATAACTCAATGTATGGATCAGTTATAACAAATTTAGTATTAGATAAGAAATTGAACACAGAACAAGTTGTACTAGTGTAGTTTCACACAACACTGCAAGCTGCTACAAAGCAAAAACATTAACCTAAAAAGTTGGGTCAGGTTCTTAAATAGTTTGAGATCAAGAATTTAATACGGATTTCAGGCATAGTCTTAAACTCATTCAGAAATAACTGTGAGCTGTTGTATACAACTGTTTTCTCAGATCAATGGTTAAAAATGGCTTTGAGTAAGTGAAGCATGTGGGTCTTAGCAAGAATCATCCTTCTTCAAACTTTTTAGACTGGTTCCTTCAGAATCACAAAGAACTGAAGCAAATAAAAGAAATCACATCTCTTGAAGACTTTCAACAGCAGCAACAACTAAAATAAATATCACATATAACTTGAAGAGAAAACAACACAATCAAAATTTTGATGGTCCACACTAATTTGAACAAATGTTATGAAAGAAGCACTGATCAATATTTGAAAGAGCAATAACAGTTACTGGACTTGAGAAACCTATTTTCCTGAAAAATCTTTTTCATAGATTTTGTAAATTTCAATCAAAAGTAGCACTGGGTAATTTGTCAATGAATGGGTAATGTTTCCTCATAAGGAAACAACTAATATTATGATTACAGTTAGCATTACATTCACCTGATCTGTCGGGAGTTTTTTTAAAACTATTTTTGAGTTCTATTGTGAATAGACAGATCAGATAGATAACAATGCTCAAGTTCTTATCTCAAAAGTTTGTTACAAAAAGAAAAATCTATTAACTACTGAAACATTATTCAAAGTGAAAATTTCAATTTTTTTTTTTTTAAGTCTAGTGGTGTTTGAGAAGGCCACGTTTTTTCTCCCCCCCCTCACCACGAACTGTTCCCAGAATGAGGTCTACAAGATGCTGAGTGTATTGGCAAGGTTTCTCAAAGTAACTAATGAAGCCAATTGGTTGGTTGGTTGGTTGGTCTTAGAGAATGAAGAGGGAAGAAGGGAGAGTGGTTCAGAGATCAATACAGGAATGGTTGCAAAGAAAGACAGCAGTGCAACGCTGCATCGGATATAACAGTTTTACTGCTGCAAAATCAGCTTCTTCGTCTGGCATTTCCAATTTTCAATTCTGTGTTAGTCACCTGTCGACATCAGAATCTATCTGCTGTTAAATGTTGCCTGTGTTAGTGTGCAGGAGAGATGAGGTCACACCAGTAATACTGGTGTTGAGGGAGATGGGGGATGGTGTGATGTAAGGTTACAATGATGATAAATATGACTGATGTGGATGCTGGTAGTGGTAGCTATAAAGGCAGTGTCAGTAGTTGTGGTCATGAGGATGATGATGATGTAAAGGAAGAGTAGAAAATATTTTGGGCATCAAGAAGGGTTAATTTCTGTCTAGTTTTTATTTTTTATTACTTATTCCCATTTTTAAAAATTCTGGATAAACGCAAAGTGAAACAGACAAAAAGATAAACTGATAGGTAGACAAATAGAGAGGAAACAAGTTAGTTATCTATATAGATATACCAATATATATCAGAATCTGTATTTCTTTCTCCCTTTGATTCTTTCTTCTCCCTCTCCCTCTTTACCATTCTCACTTTTCTCCTCGTTATTATGAAACTCTTTATATAATTCTCACCATACTGTCAACAATACTTACTCCTTTTACATCCAATTCTTTTTATATCATACTCTCTCTTTTTCTCTTTAAATCTTTTGCTTTCCTTCTCTCTTGGCTTACAGCCATATTACACTGAAACACCAGTTCTTGTCCAATCACCAAAGTTAAGCAACCTTGTGCTTGGTCAGTACTTAAATGGGCGACTGCTTATGAATATCAGGTGGTGCAATGGATAATGGCTCAGAAAAGTTCCAGTTTCAGTCAGATTCATTATATTCACTTACATGCAAAATACCATAAAAGTATTAAAAAATTTTCCCCAGCTATGGATTAAATAGTAGAACCTGTAAGAGTAAAATCATTATTATCTATAAAATATTCTTACAATACAAAAATATTTTCTGGATTTAAATAACTTTCAAAAGGTTGATAAGCCATAAAAAAACAAATCAATCAATAAAATTCTTTCTCTATTTCTCCTCCTTTTACCACTTCTTCCCACTCCTTTCTTTCTCTTTTCTTGATCACTTATTCGTCAATTTGTCATTATTTCTATCTCTTTTTACTTAAAAAAACACTTGCCCTGAGCATTTTCATATGCAATAAGTATTACAGATTTTACAAGTATGCTTATGTACTCATTGATTTAATCTAACAATATTCCTATTTGTATAGATGTTTTGAGTTCATGCCTTTTAAAGGAAATTCTAAACAGACCTAAATACAAATTACTTTCTTTTCTGAGGCAAATTTCCTCTGTACATTTCTTGTTTTCTATTTAACATTTTTCATTTTCAAATTTTCTTTCTTTTTTTTTCTAAGTTCTAAAATCTCTCATTTTTATTCATCCCCTTATAAAAAAGCCCCCCCCCCACCTTTCTCTTTTGCTCACTCTTTAACTCGATCTCCTCCATTATCTAAACCCACTTTCTGTCACTTATTCATTCTTTTCTACTTTTTCTAATTCTCTCTCTCATCTTTTCCCTGTCTCTCTGCATTTCTTCTTTTATTCTGCTCATCTTTCACTCTTCCCAACTCCTCCTCATCTTGTCTGTGTGTCAGCCTCCTATCACTCCCCCTCCCCTCCTCCAGCACATTTATGGTGAGTACTCTGTATTCAGTGTTTCTGCTTCATATTGATTTGTGCTGACCTCATCGAAGAATATCAGAGTTACGGAATCCAGTCAAACACTTCCAGACACACAAACGATATGCAACAGTTTATTGCAGGAAACAAACAGAAACCTGAAAAGTTCCCTCCCTCCAGACAAGACCTGATCATGTGCTGTGTCTTTTCAGGGTGTCAGTGAACATGCCTCTACACAACTTCCTATGACTTACAGCCACATCATGTTGAAACATCAATCTTGTACAGTCACTGAAGCTAAGCAATGTCGAGCCTGGTCAGTACCTAGAAGGGTGACTGCTTGAGAATACCAGGTGAGGAAAGCTTGTATAATGGATAATGGCTCAGAATTGTTAATTGGAGAGTCGAGTTCCAATTCTCATTGCGTTTGTTATATTCACTTATGCACAAATGCCCTTGGGAAAGGTGTGAATCTACCACTTCTCCCCCAGCTATGGGTTAATTAGTAAGAATTGTATCACTAAACCATTATTATCACAAAAAAATTTTTTTACAATCTAAAAATATTTTCTGGCTTTAAATAACCTGCAACAGGTTGATAAACCATAGAAAATGAATCAATCAAACAATTTCCTATCCTTCATAGCGTTTAGCAATGTCTGTCTATTTATTATAATTCCCACTATGCTCTGCCATCCATTCACACAAGCTCATTATGTAGGTCACTTGCTGTTTCCCATTGACACTCTTGTCTTATAGGATGTTGTGGATTCCGGGATGAAATCTGGTCTCAAATGAATGACAAACGCAGGAATGAAATATAGGAAATAAATGTATTGATGTAATAATACAATTGGTAATATGGTTAGTAGATCCAGAAATGCGGTTAGTAGCAATAATAATATATATACAGTCTGGGAAATTCAGTATCGAAGTAGGACTTCCTTCTAAGTCTACGTGCTCGTAACTGTGACTCCTACAAAGCGGTTACTTCACACTCTCACTCCCTCACTTTCTCACTGTATCACTCCCAGGTATTCACCGGAAGCAGTACAAGTACACACTAGGCAAGTCCACTTGTATAAAAAGGGGTGGACCCCTTAACATAGGAGATGACATTTTCCCTACTACAGCCTCTTTCCTCACAATGTTATAAGCCTATTGCTACTCTTTTGTTATTTCTATTGCAAATGTTCAAATGAGCTCCATTCTTTATTTCCATCTGTTCATACCTTTAATGCTAACACTCACCATGCTATGTTCACAGAGTCAAATCCTCCATATTCTAACTGTAAGGAGGAAGTTTCACTCAGACAGTTTTTATCCCCTTGAGAACTGCTATTTTTGTGGAACAAACTCATGTGGATGCTTCTCTGAACACTACAATCTTAACCTCTTCAAATCAAGAATCAGTTACTATCTATCCTTCTTATGCTCATAATCTATATGTTTTTCTATCTCCTCTTACAGTCATATCAATATCACATACTTCATTCAGTAACCCTTTACTTTGATTGGCTCTTGAGTTTCATATTAGGGGGAACTTGAAAAAAAAAAAAAAAAATGAAAAAGTCCTTTGAGTATCAAATTATCCAAGCCCACTTTCCTTCTTATTTCAACTACCTCTGATTTTAAGTATAAGTATTCTTTTTATCTCCATTTTCCTTAAAACTTCCTTGTTGCTCACATGCTCTGTCAATGTTTTTCTCAGCATCCTTCTATAGAGCAACATTAATTACCTCTTCTCCTTATCAAATATGAGGAAATTGTCTAGCATTCACTGCCATATAGGAATATTGATATTACATTTTACTTTGGCACTCTTTTTTTTGCTTCTAATGAAATTTTTCTATTTCTTAATATTTTGTTTAATTTTTAGAGGGCTGCTTTTGCTATTCCAATGGTTTTTTTTTTTAATTTCTGGGGCATATTTTTTCATCGTCTGTTAAAACACTTTCCAATTATTTCTGTACCTGCTTGATTTTTGACATCAATTCATAGCTTGCATCTCGGGTTGTTTCTCTTGCTAATGATCATACATTTTATCTTCTTACAATTGATGGTTAGTCCTTTCTTCTTGCTTTCCTTTACTACCTTATCTTGGAGCTCCTGCAGTTTTTTTTCTGTGTCTGCCATCAACATAGTGTCATAATCTATAATTGCTATGATGCTTTTTACAGTTGAAATGGCTAGATGTAACAGTAAGTTCTATGCTAACAGTTTCTTCTCTTGCACTTCATGTGGCTTCTGGCTTTCCAGTCATCTTTGACATTCAAAAATTTAAATCTAATGTCAATTGTTATCTTCTGTCTTCTTAATTCCTGTTCTTTGTTTTCTCTTCCTAAGGTTTTCTTTTTCTCATATTTGCTTGTACCCAGTAACTCCTTGTATCTTAGTGGTTTTATTGCCTTGCTTGAAGTGAAATGATAAAAAAAAAATGTTTGATTAATAAATAATGATTTCAAATGTGATTTTATTGTTTTCTCAGTTTTATTGTTAGCAAATAATAATTCCTTCAGTTTTCTCTTTAGAGATCAATCCTGATCATGAGCCCCATAACCCATTAGGATCATAGGGACAACACATGTAATGCAGTCACAGTAGCAGTGCTGCGTCTTGAGCAAGATAGTCTGAAAGAACCTAACACTTTCCAGGCTAGTTTTGAATTAAAAGTTTTCCTTCTTCTAGACTGGTTGCCACTCAAAGCTACAGGACCCATTCTGTCCTGCTATTTACCCATAGCCAGTGAGAGAAGAGAAGGATTCATGCCTTTCCCAAGGGTAACAGCACATAAGTGAGTGTAATGAACTCAACTAGAATTCAAACTCAGCTCTACAATTCCTCAATCCAATCCACTCTCCATTATTTCACCATACATCCACATTTTTATAGAAAAAATATTATTCATTTTTCAAGGTTAAATGATATTTCAGAGTCGAAGAATTTCACAATTTGGGATTTTTTAAAAACCTTTTTGGATCTGATATTCTATAAATGTCATATCTGTGCTGAGAAGATTAATGAATAAAGAAATAAATATTATTTCTATTTTCTTGCATGGGAATAGCATTAAAGTATTTCTATGTAAATATTTTTAATATATATTCTGCCATATGCTTCTAAGCTATTCAATAATTTGTTTTGGTTTCATTCTATACCTTTTTCTTTTGCTCTCCTGCTGGTTATCATATGACTTCTTTATTAAAACAACAGATTAGATAATCTTGATTTCCTCTCTCATGATTTATTGACTCTCAATTTCCTCTGTATGAATGCTCTGTTGTGGCAAATACAATGACTCACACGTATTACAGATTTCTATGCAAATTACTATAAGCACTACACTGGCATTGAGATCTCATCAATTTACAGTTGAGCTGGCTAAATGTAGCTGTAAATTCTATGCTAACAGTTTCTTCTCTCACACTTGTGGAAATCCCTTCTGTCTCCATGCTTTCCAGCCAACTTTAATCTGCAAAAATTTAAATGCAACGTCAATCGCTATCTACTGTCCATCTGATAACTCGCTTCTCTTCCTGATCATCATTAATGTTTTTGTTCCTAATTCTTCCACACCCTGTGACCCCTTGTGTTTTAGTGGCATTACTGCTTTGCTTGGGTGATTCTGATTAACAAAAAAAGTACTCGTTTTGAAGGATTTTGCCAATATTACTGAATACTTCATTACAACCAATCCAATTTCTTATCTACTCAACCCAAAGCACTGAACGACTCCTTGAAATCAAATACTGTGTATACTCATGTATAAGCCAACTTCATGTATAGCGTGACTCCTGAATTTTTTGCATGAATTTTAACCTCATAAGTAAAAAAATTTATTTGTGCATACTGCAACCAATTACCAAAAATGCATGATTTTTAACCTCTTCAAAAGAATTACCTGTGTAGAGTGCAACCCCCTATATTTTGCATAAAAAATTGATCATAAAAACTTGCATTATACATGTGTTGTCCCTATGATCCTATATATTGTATATACAGTACCCACACCACCTGACCATTTCTGTTTCTTTACAAAAAAAGACTTTCTTCAACTGACATAAATATCCAAGTTGCTTATCTTGTTTTATGAACTGTTTTTATTTATTTGTCCTCTGAAAATTGACCAAATGTCTCCACCT